CACAAAATATTTGGGTTCTGCACTGAGATAGTCGTAACAATAGTGACTTCCACACTTCCATTTTAAATTCTAATTTCACAATTTAAGAAAAAAGTTTGAATTCTTATTTACTAAGAAGAAATAAATTGAATGCTAATCCCTTAAGTGGTTTCAAAAAAAAAACAGATTTAAATTTGCATAAAAATCAATAAACGTTAAATATTGAATACCAGTTTCGGCTTGTAGCATATCCCAGATTTTGACTTATGATCTAAGTTAGTTTGAGATCTTATGTCTCCAGTAAATTCAAAATGTTTTGATGGAATATTCAACACTTTGGTGGTTTATTTTATTTAACTGGGGTGTGCGATAGACTTACCTCCACGTGGTGCACCCTGGGCAACGTATACTCATACGGCAAAAAAGTCTATTAACTGGCAGTTGACTTCAGACTTCTAACTACCATCACCCCACTGTATGTCATATTCCACCACTTTCACAGTACTCATCTTACCTTTTTCCCTACCATTGTGTCTGTCTGTGAATCGCTCTTCCGTTCCCCACCCCTCGACTTTCTGCTACTTTGATGAACCTTTCCTCTGTTAAGCCCGAAGTCAGCTAAATGGCTAATGATAGCTATCAAAATGCCTGCCATTTGAAATAAAGAAATTTTATTTAACTAGGTGAGCTGATTAAGTAGTCCGCGCATGGGTTCAAGCCCATTCCATCCACGTTACCTATGGAATCATATAAAACCTTATTAAAGAATGCATTCGCTCACATAGACCCATAAACCCGTTCTTCGTTCTCGCTTCAACATATCATTTTCATCTCAATATCCTATTTCCAAGGAACCTCAATGCCTTTTAGTAAGACGCACTTCTGTGTCTCATTGGTGAAACGTTTACTTCCTGCTTTGAGGTGGCAATCATTGGTTTCCATTTCAAAAGAATATCCAATTAACTAAAAGTAAGAAGTTTCCGTCGGACAGAAATACCTTGTTGAAGGCAAATTTTAAGTGGAGCTTGCTATTTTTCAAATTGGCTTTGGTATCTTTCAATGACCCAGTTCACTTCCGCATCTTAATCCAGTTTCATCAGTTTTTTTTCATGCAATTCGCATGCTTCTCACCATCGTATCCACCCCGCATGCTGAAGGCCTCTGAGAGGGCGTCGTTAGCAGCTGTCGCTAGACTCAAAGCTTCCGCGTAGGCAGAATGCTCATTCCTTGGAAACGCGGTGCTTGAACCTCCGGTGAGGTACGACGGTCTTGTCTCCACATTCCAAAAACTTGGCACCAGGACACTAACTATAATTTTAATGTCATTTTTTTGTTTTAATTTAATGCCCAAAAATGACAATCTGAGATGCGCATAAAATTACAGATATCGGCAATTCCGTACACTGACTTCCAGGTAAACCAAATGATTTTTTTAAGAAAAACCTCTAACTCTGTCTGAAGAATCGGGGATTAATCTTCCTATATTATAAATATGTGATTTAAAAATGTAATTTTCGAAATTGGTGAGTATTGTTTGCGCAAATAAATGGAAATTTACCTTTGGGATGAACCTGCGTGGGAGAAATCGATATTTTCCCATTTCGTTTGTTGGGATCAATCACATGGTAGACAGGACTTTCTCGTTTATAGTTAGCGGACGTTGTAACCTCCATTCTGGAAGTTGAGTAGTGCAAGAATGAAGTGGAATTGCAATGCAACCAACATTGACTAAAAGACCTCACCTATTTCCTGAAGGAATGGGAAGTGGTTTGGGGAATGCAGTCTGTTGGGCGTGAGTTGGATTTTGGGATATTCCGAAACGTCTCGAAAACATATCATTTCGAATAATATTTTCGTTGAATGTGTTTCCGGATGTTTGTAACAAGCGCTGCTTCAAAATGAATAAGTCATTAAATATACTTGCATAGGTCTTTTGATTGGTTTTAACCTTTAAACAAAAATGATGTCTACTTACCATGTTTTCCAGCTTGTTTCCATTGACTGGTTGAGAAGTACCTTCCAACATCCGGGTGGTCACCATTGCTGGGCGTTGTATGGCGCTTGTGTGATCTACATTAAGTCGATTTCGTCTTTTCAGGGGCTTTGGTCTACGCGATTCAGATATGGTCAATTCATCTCCAACTTCGTCTTCGGGAGAATTTATAAAGGCTCCATTCGAAATTCCATTCTGCATGGCCATATTTACATCCGCTTGCCATTGTGCAATCTCCTTGATCTTTCTAGCCCACTCCTGCTCGTCATCATCGATGTATTCCATGTTCTTCGGCCTCTGAATCACCGCCTGAATGCGTGGTCGGGGCGTGAATTTTGACGAATCCTTCCTCTCACTAGACTGCCCTTCACGGGGAATGGGTACAGTAACGGTAGTTGTTTTCACCCCACGGCGTTCGCTTTTCACCTCACTGTATTCTGATTGGTTCATAACCTCGGCAACCTGCATATGGTCCTCTTTTCCTAAAGTCGTCGCCGAATGGGTAGAAGACATGTCTATTTCTTTATTAACATTTTCTGGAATTGTAGGTGATGGCTCTGATGAAGGGGCGGATATAATTTCACTAATTGACGTTGTAACAGAAGTTGATGAAGGAGCGAAGTTGTCAGTTCTTTGAGGAAATCTAGGAGGTGGGGTTATTTCTTTTACAGGTCGGATATTAGGCGCGTCATCTTGAAGGAAAACAGTAACTTTGTGGGAGGGAACACTGATAAGTTCATTTACTACTTGTTCCGACACCACAGGCGGTGAGTAGACACTCTCGAAAGATGACCTCCTATTGCCATCCAATGAGTAGAGTTGGCGTTCAACGCGAGAGTCAGGGGTGGTATAAAGGAATAGGTGACCACTTTCCTCATCTTCGCTTCCATTTTCTTCCATGTTGAAACTCCATTTATGTTCATTTGCTGTAGGTGCTAAGTGAATATTACTAGTGTGGAGATTACCGTTAAATGAGCCATGTTCACCACAATCGGCTGGAGAAATTCCTATACCAGACTCTGGACCGATATCCTGGAGACAACGTTCCAGGTTATTAATCGCCTTCTTTGTGGAATCGGAGAGGGAGAGTTCTGCTAGAATTGAGGGTGTGGAGGTTGATTTGGCTTGAAGATACAGCGTACTAAGACCAGTACTCGTGATATTGGTCACATCACTTCGCATGGTTTCAAACCCGATATCGTCGGCAGCGGCGAGGACTTGTGGGAAATTGGCGTTGATCATGCGATCGAATTCACTCGGGGAGAGAGAGGTATCGGATCGAATAGTGCTCTGCTTACTGACAATCAAGTGCGGTACTGTAGAGCTCACCTCTCTCACGTCGCGTCGATTCTAGTTTTAATGTAAACAATACGCAAAAATAAACTAAATTTCATTTAGAGGTGCAGAAATTCACTTATACAAATAACGTAATTCGCTTATGTTCAGAAAGTGAGCCAGCAAAGTAACTTTTAAAGAATTCAACTGCAAGGGGGAAGGCCATGGGTCTGATAGAAATAAGATTTAATCCAATGATTGATGGAATTCAGTTATTTGTTTTTTTTATATCAAATGGCAGGCATTTTGACAGTTGTCATTGGCCCTTTAGCTAACTTCGGGCCTCACAGAGGGGAGCAACAGACAGTCACAAAAAAATTCGAGAGGGGGAACAGTAGAGCGATTTGCAGATGTGACAAGTTGACTTCACGATGCTCTTCCATTACTCAAGTTTCATCGTGGGAAAACGATTCTCGAAAGAGGCCTGAGAGCATCTTTTATCGTAAATGTTGCATCAAGTTAATTTAATAAATGCTTCAAACAGGGACTGAATCAGGATTGAAAGACGGGCATTTAACATTTCACTGAAAAGATTAGCTGATGTTCCCAGAAACAACAAAAACAAGTGTAGGTCAATATGGTGCTGAAGAAAGAGTTGTCTAAAGGTCATACTAAATTTGGACTAAAAGGGTAGAGATAGTGTGTTAAGATCAGATGATTTCCTGATTCACTACAAGCATATTTCTTCTTAATGTTTGCTTTAGCTTAATCTCTAAGTCATATAATAATAATCACCTGTCGAGTGATGTCACCCAGCCTTAAAGTGCACTGAAATCGGACATCCCTAAGTGGCATTAACCTTTGAGAAAACCTTTGTTAAAAAATTTCTTTTGTAGTATTGTCGACAAGATGCTCATCATCATATTACGATTGCGCTAACTTCTACAATAGAGAAATCAAGTATCGACATGCCAACACTTGCTCTCGTCTGATTTGAAAACAAGAGAAACGAAAAGTCGCGTTGATGTGCGAATGCACTACTGAAAGTCAACTCAACTACATGAGTGGCGCTAAATGCTTCATGCAAATTGTCGTTACGCACACCATTAACAAACCGAAATCCTTTGAAATTAAGCAAGTGGATGTATAATTTTATTTGGGGAAAAGTGATGCAATAAATTGGAACAACCACAAAAATTCGATAAAATTATTAAAATTAATTATGATGAAGGCTATTTCAAAAGATAGACAGAGATTTACTATCATTGAGATACCTTTGGGTAAAATTAGGGTTAATCCTCAAATTGGCTTAAATCTTAAGTCAATGGGAAAATTACCAACAGTGATTAATTAACTTAAATATGGTAAAACAAATAGCCCTTTATTTAATTACAAGATTTTCAATTGAATTTATGGAACTAAGTGGACCTTTTGAATCATTTTTAACATCGGGTTTCTAGCCTCGGTTATCTTTAAAAAGTAAATGCAAATAACATTTTTGTCTTGATCGATTTTTTTCAAAATGGCTAATTCTTAAAAATTCGTAATTTCTGCTATTCATGGGCAAAACTTGTGCGAAGAATTCGATCTTGATCCGAGTCTACTTAATGTGTGATCAAGTAATTTGGTCCAATTGAACTCTGGGAATTATTATTGAAATCCAGCTGATGTTATTTAATATTATAAAGCCTTTTGAAATATTAATGGGAATCAATATTTCGACATAATTTCATTCTAATTTTCTCGCCAAAAAACCATACCAATAGTATCTTAGATCTGACATATTAACTGGCATTAATTTACTTCAAGAAATAATAAAATTATGCCTATCGCATATTTTCGAAAGTCGGCCTTGTCTGATTCGTCAGATGGATTGGTTTTAACTCTACTAAAAGGGTAAATCCTGAAATAGTTAGCGTTCTTTTATTTTAATCAAATTTCTATCTTAAAAACATTTATTTTGACAGTTTATTCAATTAAATGTCTGCTTCTTTTGTGTTATAATTGATTACATGAAAAATAACTGTTTGCTGGAACAATTTGACAACGAGCCCAGAATATATATAGGAGGTAAAACGAATAATAGATTAAGATACAAAGCAAGATTCACTTAAACATGAATTAGAGCATTTAAATAAATTTTCATTAAAAATGACTATTTCTTCTTACCGATAGAAGCGACTCAATTTCAAAGAAAATGTAAAAACTCCGACAGAATTTTCTTTGGCGCTAGATACTCACTCACCAATCAAAGGCAGTCTCCCATGCGATTGGCTAATTTGAGATCTTCTTGCGACACCATAACGGCGACTAGGCATCGACTCAAAAAATTTGTCGCCTTAAGTATCCACGTGATCGAGCACTATCGTTTCGTGTTAAAGTGAAGCTCATCATTTATGAAATTGCGCTGACCATAAGTTTGTTGAAGTAAATTTACTACTCGCAAGTTTCAGTAAACTGTTTTGATAAAAATCGATAACACTCTAGGGCAAACTCCAATGAAATTTATGCTCGTGTATTGAGAAGTAAGTGATACCTTAAGAAAAGTTTTCTGGAAATACTTTTAATGAATTAGTTGAAAATAAAAGCGAAATCTGTCATAAACGTATTTAATCGGCTAGTTATTTTACCTTTGGAAAACGAGATTATGTTGGCTCCTTTTGAATTTAGTGGATCCACCTTTCCCTGTTTATAAGTGCAATTTTGGCACTACGCAATTCTAAATAAATATGATTTTCATTTCCTTTACTACTCGATTAACAGAAATTAGTTGATTGCATTCCAAAAGCGCCTGAAATGGACAAAATTTTTGATTTGACATTTTTGAATAATTATGCAGAAAGGAAGGCGAAGAGACGCGCACATATCTTCCAAGAAGGGATCGTTCATTTGCACTATGTGGGATGAGTCACCCGTGTGTGAACCAAAACAACACGAGATTTTCATTTGCATTTTGCCTGGTCGATTGAATATGCACACCTAAAAAAGACGCTGAAATCGAGGCTCCATTGGCTTATCGTCATTGTGTGCACCTAGCCAATGAGCTTCAAGTTCCTACATTACGTGTTTCCGCCTTTTGGTTTCGACCAATTGCTGACGTTTACGAGGTAAATAAGGCTGAATCATAGCATCAGACGGAAATAGCCTCTCGAAACTTTTGGGAATTTATCGTTGGCCTCTCTTTTGACAGATAATTACCAGCTGTTTTTGGTCACAGACAAAACACAATATCATTTTCTGACAAGTAAATGGTTAGTGTTTTACTAAATTTGGACAAATTTGATATTGCATACTGAAGTGTGGGGTTCTAAAAAACTGAATTTTATTACATTGGCGGCGAGATATCGGTTTATAAAACTGCCTCAACAAAGTTGTCAAAAAACACCTCCATTGAGCTCTGATAAGATGAAAAAAACACTAGTTTCAAAAGTGCAAAGTTGAAATTTCACTCTTCTTAAATGAAGAATGAATTTGTGCTACCTCTTGCTCTATAGTCTCGAGGCATCGAAGACGTCAGCATTATTTCTGGCATTGGAACAATTTGAGTCTGATTGCGATACGTTTGAACAAGAAATTGCGATATATAATTTCAATTATATACCCTGAAAATCAGCACAAATTCAAACTTATCGCCGAGAAATCCATCTATTCACAGAGGTGGAGGCCTCAAACATCGAGATGATAGAAATTCTAAAGAGACGTAAATCGAAATTTGAGCTTTAAAAGTACCATTATTTTTCACGATTGTCATTTTCTTGTTACAATTTCCTCACAATTAAAATCTGTCAAGCAATAGGTCTCTATACTCAAATGGCAGTTACATTACTATTGTTCTTATACAAATGAACTAACAAATTTTCCGAATTAGTGACCAATAAAATAATGTTACAGCTGAACTCATTTTGGCCGTTCCGTGAAGTTCTATAAATTCAAATTCATTAGTTTGAGCTTCATATATGAAACAAATTATTAAGACTATCGAGCGATGGATCTTACCAAGAATGGTTATTAAACAAATGATTATTGATTTCACTAATTAGTCTTTGTGTACTTTTTGATTTTCCTTCAAATACATGGGTTACTTTTCTCCATTTCAATTTTTTTTATGAATAAGCGCAAGTTGTTTCAATATCTATTATTCCACGGAGCAAACGTTGATCAGTAAAGCCGTTTACAGTCAGTAATTTTGATTAAAAACCATCAACAAGTGACAGAAAATATTGTTCCTTCAAAATTCAATAAACTCGACTTTTTAAGGGACTTCAATCATACAGTATTTCAAAAATAGAATTTGCTAAAAGTGATATTCTAACCTTGTGCATAATTTGGTAAAAAAAGAATTAAAGAAAGAGCTTTATTATTGTTAACGTTATAAGAGTTTGGTGAAATATCATGTTAGAGAGCCTTTTATAGCAAGAAATAAAATTGGAATGAATTCTTAGCTGTCTCGTTTCAGCTACATTGCGCATACAGGCTGTTAAAGTACCCACCAACTCATCCTTTGAAAGAGAAAATCAATTCAAATGGTGAAGCTACCAATCACAATTGTGGGACACGTTATCGCTGTGTGCGTGCCAGGATTGGGAGGTGCGGCCGTACAACTCTGTGTGCAGGGACCGTACGATTGGGAGGTGCGGCCGTACAACTCTGTGTGCAGCGACCACAACTCTGTGTGCAGCGACCGTACAAACAGTGGCCAATCACTAGGCCAGGATTGGGAGGTGCGGCCGTACAACTTTGTGTGCAGTTCGCCAGGATTGGGAGGTGCGCCGTATAACTCTGTGTGCAGCGATCGTACAAACAGTGCATCGTATGCCTGCATGTCTGCTGCCAGGATTGGGAGGTACGGCCAACTCTGTGTGCAGCGACCGTACAAACAGTGGCCAATCACTAGAACCTCGGGACAAGCCTTGTGGGACACGTCATCGCATGCCTGCACGCCAGGACTGGGAGATGCCAGGATTGGG